CGACTTCTTGCTGCTGTTTGGACCTGTTCACTGGTGGTGGGGTTTCCCGTTTGAGCGCCTCATTGGGATAGTGCAGCGGCTACCTCACAATCACAAGCCAGGTCAGTATGAGCTAATATTTCAAGTTATTGAGCTGACATCGTGATTACGCATCTAGGAGAGATCGAAGCGACTATGGTTCGATCGTTTATTCGTGGGGCCAATCTAAGACGGTGGCTGTCAAGAATAGACTGTCCTGCGGCTATTAAGCTGTGTAAGGACTTCTTCGACAAGGCATTTGGGTCGAAGCACGACAAGCACAGGGACAGTAGGCTTGAAGACCTTCCCATTCAGCAGTTCCCTGCGCCACTGCAGAACCTAACGCAGCAGCAGTGGGGTCCTCTGTGCTCTTATCTGAGGTTCCGTAGGATCATGTACTCGTCAGCAGCCTTTCACACAGGTAATAGTCTCATATTCTTCTACCCTATGGGGGGCTCGGAGAACCACGCCGTCCCTGGGTCCATCCAATACATCTACAGGAGGGCGGGTTCGTTGAAGTTCGCGGTGAGACGCCAGATGCAGGCCCCTCAGGAATACCCAGATCCTTTCCGGAAATGGAGAGATCATTATCCTGCTGAGGTTTATTCGTTGCAGCTCGCAGACGATCTGGAGGAGGTTGATCCGACACGAGTGCTCTGTCATTTTGCTCGATTCCCTCTGACGGACGAGCTTGCTGTTGTACTCATGTTATCTCAGGTAAGTCCACTTCATCATCTCCATATAGCTCCGCTGAACACAAACACTATCTTAGAACTAGGCATACAAGTCGGTTGTGCCCGTACCAGGCTGCGAGCCGCTCTCCCAGCCACTCTTAGCCGCCGGTGGGCCGCCGCCGGCTATTGAGTGGCTTGCCGATGCAGCCACTGGCGGCCCGTCGGCGGCCCGATTATATACCGGACGATCCCGAATCAGGTATATCGCACCTTTATGCTATGTGTTACGCTATTTGCATCCATATTCCGGATTCGCTATCAACCCGAGATGTGCTTTGATATTTTAGCTATGATTCATTGTACTGTATCAGGCCAAAAACCGGACTTCCCCATTGTTCCATATATTTATCCATATTTGCTCTATCACTGGGTATATCTCCGGAAATTGATATTCAAATATGGTAATGCATTTGTTTCTATTTGATATTCCCTGACATTACCGTTGTAGGGGATCGTCTGTGGCTCAGCTCCCATATGGGGAGTATATGACTGTATACGGTGGTTGTGTGGAATTCACAATATTGTATTGACATATCGGACTGAATGCCACCGCGTGTCATATTATCGGTTGCTCGATGTGTAGTGCTTGGCAAAATGGAATATCTGATAGAGTTAGCAAATCGCACAACAAGACTCATCATCACTACATACCTGGTCCCCCGGACAAAGAAGTCCCGCCTCCTCGCGCAATCACCCATTGGTGCCCAGGCCAACAGCCGTCTACTGGTCCGTCTATCGCAAGCAGACTCGTCTACAAAAACGAGCTTATCACCCCCGCCGTTACAGTTGAGCCCGATGTCCGCCATATACAGGTCTCGTTCATCGTCATCTCGCTCAAGGGCTATTCGCGTGACCTGATCCGCAATAACCATCACTTTCTGGGTCACAATCATTGAGCTACGCACCCTTTTTCGAGTAAAACCCCTCCTTCGCAATACTCGACTGATCGTCGCCTCAGAGACAGAGACACGTCGTGCTTGGTGTAGTAGAGACTTCAGTTCCGGCAGCGACGCATCGGGTGTTCTCTCGATTACACTTTCGAGATACTTCACACTTACCAGTTAGTTTGGATTCACGCATACGGATGTAGGACTCACCGCAAGGTCAATACCATTCAAAACTCTTGGACAGCCTATGCGAACGGGCTTGCGAGAGACGTGACTAGTCCGTTTCCACAGGCCAAGTGTCCGATAGATGCATGTCTTCCCAATGCCAGTACACTTCACAATCTCCTTGGGTTTCATGTTGCGAGACATGTAGACGAGCTGTTCTTTGACGGAAGTTGATATATGGCGCCGCAGCCCAGTGATGAGAGCCATGGTAGTGATACCGTTGAAGGAAGTCGCATGCGTTGGCCATGGCTAAGCCAAGGTCTGGGCGTTGGTGGAGTAGGTGGTGCGCGTCTGGTGTTTGTGTGGCGGTCCCTACCATTTTGGGTCATATAGCGCAGATTTCACAATTCCGCATCGTTTTGCAACATGCTGTAATGGCAGCAGATTAGCATCTAGTAACATCAAACTCAATGGTCATAGACTTGGTTGCAGGCAGCCAGAGCAGGGGCAAAGATGCCGACGTGAAGTCAGCACTTCCCAGTTGATCATCTGGATCGATGATTTGTGCAGCACTCCCAAAAGGTCCAGAGGTTGTGTACAAACAATGAGCATATGATGGCAATTATTGAATGCACCCTGATCATTCACAGACATTTGCACATAATATTGAGTTGAATTTCGTTCAAGCCATAATGCTGGCATGGGACTCTGGTGGCTCAGTGGATATGCCAGTCCGGTCCCGGGTTTGTTTTGGCAAGTGCTGGCCTTCAGTCACAGGTTGCGGGTTCAAATCCGGCAGGAACCATCAGGGAGTTTTAGTGGGTATTGCGTGTTTAGCTGAGTCCCACAATACTGTGGGAAATCCTTAATGTCAAAGGCTCTTTCTCATGTGTCTGCATAAATGCATTTCTTCCTGGAGACTTAGCACTCTTCCGCTTATGGTCCGCTACATACTAGATTAGGGCAAAGTGTCCCTAACTGGTGCAAGACCCCTGCGCTATGTGCCCAACTGCTTGAGGCTGTACCGATTGTCAGTTGTCAATTATGTCATTGTGTCTCTCAAAAAATAATAATAATAATGCTGGCATACAACAAGAAGTCCCACGGTCAGCGGAGTTCGAACTGCAACAGCAATCACAGCAAACTCGCAGTTCGTCAAGTCCATGCTTCTTGGTTGCGCAGAGATGAACGATCGAAACAATCAATTATTGAGCACCCCTTCTCAGGTCAGGACTACTCATTCGCAGCTCCTATATCACACTAAGTTGGAGGCAGATAATGCTCCTTGTACAAGAACATCAGCACTCCACTACTAGTGGTATACAGCTGTCACATATCCCCCTGATAACCCAGGGAATGTGTCATTCAAACTTACCTCCCTTGAGGTGCAACTTTGGTGGTGCCCTCTGGGCAAAGCGAATCTCTCAGATCCGGATCTAAAATTGCCAGGCTATTCTCGGTGTGTCATGCATATGATGTTCAGCTGCGGTGAATCACGCCGATGGATGGATGGCCATGGCTGTGATTACACCCGCGCCTTCAAGACGCGAAGCGGAGATCTGATCTATTACTATCATTGAGGGGGTTCTGCAAAAAGTATCGAATTCGGCCTGTAGCATTCTGCACACTTGACGGATTCTTACCGGATCTTCGGCATATTGTGTGTGACTTAGTGATGAATGTCCTCACGATTTTTGTCCATTTTTATGCAGCCTGTGGAACGTAGGAGAGAGATGCCGGTTCATGTAGGGGGTTCCGCAAAAAGGTGTCACATGCGGTCACAGTGGGATCTCGCCGCGAGCGATGTCACGCTTTTGTCACGATATGGGCCCGGGAGATGTGCAAAGTTGCCTCTCTATCTCGACACGCTCATTATTTACTCTATCGGGCTGGTGTATTGTACTATAGACAGCATATTCATGATACGCCAAGCCATTCCACTGCAGTCCGTTGAGAGCATCACGAGAGATCTAGTGGACCCTGTTTCTTTCCCATGGCCTACAGGACCCATTTTCTCTCCCTCTCTTCAACCACAGCAGATATTCCCATTCTGACTTGGTAGAGGTTCTATTCTAGTGTATATATACCTGCCTGAGCTTACCCAACATTTTTTGGTTGAGTGTGGAATGAGATATAAGGGGGTGAGGGGGTTCTGCAAAATTTGCAGAACCCCCTCAATGATAGTAGCTACAAAACATAGGTCTTATATACATTTCGTATCGATGTGATGACATAGAAATACCACATGGACGGGGAGATAATGAAACAGAAAGTGGAATAAGTGAGACAAGTCTGGAATAGGGAAACGGCTAAATAATAGCGATCAATATCCCAACATGGCCCATGGGTCATCCGAGTCGTCAGCCGCAGCCAGTGGGTACTGCGCTTGACTTGTATATCTTTGTTTTACGCTGCTATAGACGTTATGGACCCGCCGACGAGCGCTGCGAACGAGAAGACGGCGCACGATCCTGCTGTTGCGGTGGATACGGTGCAGCCTATCGCCGCCACTACTAGCGCGAACGATGCTGCTGTAGAACCGGGAGGCTCAACGATAGACACGAGCGAGAAGACCTCGAACGACTCTGTGCGTGCGATAGATCCTCCAGTACCGACGGTGATGGCCCCCGATCACCCCAATGGTATCCCGCCTGCCCTCCCACCTCGCCGCGTGGCAAGTACGATCTCCTACGAAAAGTCTATTCCCCCCTCCTACACTCCTGCTGACCAATCCCTCCATCCCTCCTCTTCCACCCACCAACGCACCCCCTCCGGCTCCTCCCTCTCGTCGAACACAAGCACACTCGACACCCCCGACCCCGTCTCCGCCTCCCTCCCGCCCGCCACCCATCCCACAGTCGCCCTCCTCATCCCCTTCCCTCCTCCCTCCCATGCCACCGACAAACAAGCCTCGAAGCTCCCACCGTTTGTCTTGTACGCCCCGCTCGCCGCGCCGCTGCAGAAGCCTCAGGAGGGCGAGAAGGAGGGGCTCGCGCACAAGGCGCAGCGGAAGTGGCAGGAGGAGGAGCGCGGGGCGCGGGAGCGGGGGACGGGGTTCAAGGCGAAGGCTGTTGGTGTGAGTGGGTTTTTCGTCTGATTTTGTCCTTTTATTGGGCGCTCAGTGGACGCGTCGGGGACGATGCAGCAAAGCGCGGTTAGCGAGGAGACTCGGGCGCATCTTTTCTTTCTTTGCGCTGCTAGCAAAGTACTGACCGCGTGTGCGTATCCAGCTGATATCGAAGGGTATGGCTGCGACGAAGAACAGTCGCATTGAGTTCCTCGTGCGCACGCCGAACAAGAAGAAGCTCAAAGAGGTACGTGGCTCTCCTGCCTTTCCCGCCCTTCTCTCGCCAACCAGCGCCCCAGCTCCGCATGATCTACCCCGCGTCGTACTCCGCGGCGGACATCAAGGACCTGTTCACGGACATGATCAAGAAGGCCAAGGCGGGCGCGATCCGCAACGGGATCGTGAGCACCGCGATGCTGCCGTTCGTGCTCGCGTTCGACGTGTTCACGTTTATTAGCGGGGTGCGTGGTCCTGCGTTGTCTCTTGCCTGGCTCGCCCATTCTCCTTTCCAATGACCTGACGCCGACCTTGAACACGACAGCCGTTCGAGATCAACGCCGTCTGGGCCGCGTCCTCGTGGACGGGCGCCGCGCAGGCCTCAGCCATCTCCTCGCGCGTCACCTCGAGCGAGCTCCCGCTGTCGTTCGCGTCCGACGCGCGTCTGAATGTGTTGGCGTACCGCCTGCATGAGATTTGTTGGCGGAAGGCAAGGGCGGGGGCGGTGGAGAAGCCCCGGTGAGCCTCTCATTTCTCTCCCTTTCGCCTTTCCTTCCTTTCCCTTGTCTCTTCCCCCTCCCCCCCGGTTCTTGCCACTGGCTTTATCTTCTTTTCACCGCTTCCCGACTTATCGTGATGGCGGGCTAATGGTGTGTACAGGTGGACGGGCACCGATCCCATCCGCCGCGGGCCGGACCTCGCGGGCCTCGTGCTCGACGTGCTGCGCGCGCACGGCGAGGACATGGGCGACCTCGAGACGAACCGGACGCTCGTCGGCGAGGATCTGGAGAGGTGCTTGAAGAAGGGGGCGAAGGAGTGGGCGAAGGTCTTGGCGTGAGGTGAGGGTGAGGTGTTGGAAAGGTGTTGAGAGGACGGGAAGGGGGAAAGTAATGGGAAGTGTATAGTACTGTTTAAGTAAGGTGTGATTCGGAAATTATGAGATTAATGTGGCTCTGCATGTGTCATATGGGCCTTCGTTGCCACCAGGGACTAAGGCCAGTGCAGTAGTTCAAGTACTACGATGTTTACCGACTATCTGGAGAAAACCGTAAACTTTCTGATATACGTATTTTCTGAACTATTGTGTTGCAATATGTCCACTGAGGTACTTTGAGACAAGTATACTGTGCATCACTGCACCTTTGTACAAGCACTTACATGGCTAGAAACACACAAATTAAGCCTCATCCCGATTAAGCCACAGGTCTCCCCTGTTTCCTTTACTACAGTGGTATAATTAGCGGATCATAACTCACAGCGTTCTCAGAGGAACTGCTTGAAGGCTTCGTAGCAGGACAACACAATGCGGCGATTGTCCAGTGGCTTCATGCCCTCACTGTAACGACGAGCAGGTCTGGGAACCGAGGGGACGTGGGCATAGACGACGGTTTCCTGCTCGGGATACTCGCCCATTTGAACAGCGCGAACAAGCTCGGTAGTAACCGGGATCCGGTAGAAGGTCGGCATTGTACCCTTCATGATGATGCCAGGTATGACCCTGCTCTCAAGGGCAGGCACCCCGAGAGCCTGAACGCGTATCCTGTTATTGTGGTATAAGGCCGCGATCGCCTCTGCGACGAGTTGAGGCTCTGGATCAGATTGATCCAAGTGCCTTTTATCTTCTTGAACAAGAAGCAGTGGATGACTTCCCGTAAGCCAAAATCCTAGATTTCGCAGTTCTAAACGCCATCAGCGTACCTGGTCACACTCGCTGCCACGGTGAAATGGAAAAATAGAACTGTTCCTCCCATCCGTAATGCCAGACCAACGCTCGACAACTGCAAGTCACGACCATGAGGTCGCTTTCCATTTATGGCGAGCGGATCGCTCAATTTAGCAGGTGCTGATGGCAGGTTTGATACGCGGACCTCAACCGAGGCTAAGCGAGCGTTTAGAGTCGTCTGGAGATTTGGAAAGGGGGGTCGACCCCCCCTGCTAGATTTAAAGTTTAGAGACGGTTTTTGCTCGACGAGCCTCATCAAAACTTGGTCTAAGCGAGAGCGTGACAAGACGGCATCTCGGCTTGATGCGTTTAGAGATTTAGAACTGCTCAAAACGCGTTCTAAATGCTTACGGGAAGTCATCCAGTATCTCGGAGTCATCCATGATGCAGACGTCCGTTTTGACGTGCCTTTCCTGGCCACACACCCAAAAGGCTATGTCCTTTCTCGTCCTCGCAACCCTGCCAAGAGCCCTGCCCGTGTAACCAAGCATTTTGAAGAGTTGCACGGCAAAGTCGTCGACGGCGGACTCCTCGCCATATGGAGCGGCCATCGCGAGATCCATGGTACGAAGGAGGGTGTAAGGTTCGTCGCGCTGCGTAGCAGCAGCGTCGGGGGCGTTCATCACTTCATCGTCGACATGCGGTTGGGGCAAGTCAGCTATACCGAAAAAGGCTCGTGAGTCTTGGTATTCAACTCGTATGTTGTATGCGGCCAGGTCGTTGGGAGTCCAGTCGCTGCCCGATTTTGGACTGCGTGCGAGGTTGGCCATCCTGCAACCCCAGATGAGCGGGATTATTGATAATGAAAGTGAGTCGCACTCGCAGTGACCGGATTATAGGTGGATATGGACGCGAGGTGCCGGTGAAGGTGGTAGTGGATGACTTCCCGTAACGTTAAATCCCTAAATTTCAGCCGTAAATCCCTAAAATCCTGATCGCGCCGAGCTGCCACATTGTCACGCTTTCCATGGTAACGTTTTGTTGATGGAGGTTGTCATGCAAAGGCATCTCTTAATCCTGCATTCTGTGGAGGGCTCAGGACCCCTCTGTAGTCTGCTCGACGTCTCTAAAGCCTCGCTTACACAGCTATCCAAGTCAGAGCTGGATTTTGTATGGAGACGTAGACAGATTGGATTCCTAGTGGTGTGAATACAGGACTCCACTGATCTCCTCGCCATATCTCGAAAAAATTGCACCTAGCCGGCAGAGCCTTGCCACCCGCCCGGATTCCAAACAGACGCTCCTTGGTATTGCTGTACCATCGGAATTCGAATGGTTTCCTGTTCGGGAGTAACCTCCGGCCGGACCGATAGGGGCCGCTACCAAATTCCGCCACAATCCTAAGTCCCTCGTATTGCGTTGTAGCTACAACTCCTGTACGAATCTACCTTTCAGAATGCCTACCAGTCTAGTGAATGAACATCGTATGAGCCGTCAACCGTCATATGTCTTTCTTTGACTGGATCTAACATTTCTGATGATAAAAACAGTATTTTTACGGAATGCCCAAGGCTACTGGCAATGCGTTGTTTGCCCCGGACGACGCTTCAAGCCTCTCAGCAAGGCCATAGCCCATGAAGATTCCAGGGCACATGTCATAGCTGTCCGGGTTAGAGATCAAGTACCGCCGCCCTCCCCGACCCTTCTAGCACAACCAAATCCTACTGCCCCCCCTTCGCTAAGACATCCAACCG